ATCACCTTAGCTCCGTTTGTCCTTTATGTACAGTGTAATACCATGAGGTCATGATACCGGGCACAGGACCCGCCAAACCAAGGTGGTGACGACTCTTTCAGCAGCGGTCACATCAGTGTTCTGGTTCTGTAGAACCCAAAGTATCAGTGGCAATCAACAGTGACAATTAGCATCTTCTCAGATAAGGGTAAGGTAAAGGCTCACTGGTGGAGAGCACTCTTCAAGCGGGGACTGAGGGACCAGCGCTCCATCCGTTTGTGATAGGTAACTTCTGTAGGTCCCCTGCACACAGACGTCAAGCTGGCAGAGGGGCAGAGACATAGCAACATGTGTGTGGTCGTTGTTTTTTTTTTTTTTCCACAGGCAGAGTGGACAGTGAGAGAGAGAGAGAGACAGAGAGAAAGGTCTTCCTTTTGCCGTTGGTTCACCCTCCAATGGCCACCGCAGCCGGCGTGCTGTGGCCGGCGCACCACGCTGATCCGATGGCAGGAGCCAGGTGCTTATCCTGGTCTCCCATGGGGTACAGGGCCCAAGCACTTGGGCCTTCCTCCACTGCACTCCCAGGCCACAGCAGAGAGCTGACCTGAAAGAGGGGCAACCGGGACAGAATCCGGTGCCCCGACTGGGACTAGAACCCCGTGTGCCAGCGCCGCAAGGTGGAGGATTAGCCTGTTGAGTCACGGTGCTGGCCGGTCATTGTTTTTGAAGCAAGCCTGGGAAGCTGAAAAATGGTGTCTACTTAGGTGGAGAAAAACTAGTTTTATGGAGGGCTGATCTCAGCCACAAAGAAAACATGGTCTGTTTTGTTACATGCATCTCTATAACACTCATGAACCCATGTATTGTTGTGACAATGGGGTCTTGTACAATGTTGACATTGAGATAGCTCCTATGTGTTATTTGTCGGGGGGGGGTGTGGGAGAGAGGGAGGGAGAGAGAGGGAGAGAGAGGGAGGATAGTGGGAGATGGAAGTGGGGTCTTAATCTGGGAAGAGACTTCAGCTCACTTGCTGGGCAGGCAGTACACTGTAATTCTGTTGTACAATAAAAAATTAGTGCCCATACCCAGAACCCCTGTCCCAGAGAGATCTACCCTGGGATGCCCACATTGCCACCTGAAGTAATAATTACTGTCACACTGGGTGCCCTGGTTACAAAGTTCCTCTAAACCTATGTACCCCATGACTCTTTGGGTGTGTTTTCTCACAGATCAATAGATACACATATGACATAGCAAATCCACTGTTATTGGACGAAAATAGTCACAACACCAAGTATCTTTTCAGATTATACAAAAAAAAACAACTTATGAAATAATGGAAGCCTGGCCGGCGCCACGGCTCACTAGGCTAATCCTCCGCCTGCAGCGCCGGCACACCGGGTTCTAGTCCTGGTCGGGGTGCCGGATTCTGTCTCGGTTGCTCTTCTTGCAGTCCAGCTCTCTGCTGTGGCCCGGGAGTGCAGTGGAGGATGGCCCAAGTGCTTGGGCCCTGCACCCTCATGGCAGACTAGAAGGAAGCACCTGGCTCCTGGCTTCAGATCGGCACAGCGCTGGTCATAGCGGCCATTTAGGGGGTGAACCAACAGAAGCAAGACCTTTCTCTCTGTCTCTGTCTCTGTCTGTCTCTGTCTCTCTCTCTCACTCTCACTGTCTAACTCTGCCTGTCCAAAAAAAAAAAAAAAATGGAAGACAAAGCATGGGAAAACAGTTGGCAAAGAAATATGAGTATGTTAAAAATCAATATTTTATACACGTGTGGATGTGGATTTAATGACTGTGCCCTTTTATTTTTCCCAAATCATAAGAGGAAATAAGCAAATTCATCCAATGGAAACCCTTAGTGCTACTTTCTGACAGCCTGTGAGGGATTACCCAGTGAATCATGCGCTGTCACCACAGATTTCTTGAAAGTTAATTGAGAATTTCACCACGAGCCCCTTCCTTAGAGTTAAGAACTGGAGGACTGCTGTGTCTATTAGATTATCCTCAACTGTCAGCTGTGCGGTCGTCAGCACAGGACCTGGGATGCTGTTTTACTTCTTCAGGTTTCTCAGAGGTCTGACGATTCCCTGGGCACAGAATGACAAGACGGGAAAGTCACAGAAGTCGAGGTGTCATGAGCATCAGAGTCAATGCATCAAACCCAGTGTCATTTTCTAAGCAGGTTGGAAAGCAGAAGACATCTCCTGTTCACTGTTAATGAGTGCTGGCAGACAGCTGTGGCACTGAGTGTGGCTTTTATCAACACACATACTCCAGAGAAATTTGTCATTGTTTTGGGACCACTGTTGTCTGTTTGTGTTTAGAAAGGGAACCATTGACATGTAGCTGGTCAGTACTTCTAAGATCACTTTTACAAATAGGAAAAGTCTTATGAAAATGGGGCTCTAAAATGTTTGCTAAATGCAAATCAATGAAAGAAAATTCCGAACCTCTTCTGTTCTTCCTCCTCCTCCCTTTTATGTAAAAGCACTTGCGTGTTAAATGCCAGGCTTCAGAGAACCAGCGAGTTTTGTTTTGTTTGTTCTTGAGCCTTTGTGGAGACGTATTTGACTTTGTCATTTAATCATTTCTTAGACAAGTCACAGCCTCTCTCAATTTTCTTTACTTGCACGCCACCGATGATCACATCAGTGCTCCTGGTGGTTGTGAGAATAGGTCATTGTGAAGTGTCAAGACAGACAGAAGTGAAGAAGCATTGTCATGACTTAGGACAGATTTCCCAGATGAAGTCGACTCTTAGTGTACGATACGGTCAGATACGGTCAGCCGCATTTTGTGTATTATAGTTGCTTCAACTGACTTGGAATTGGGATCATAGATATGAAGAGAACATATACACACTGTATGCGCGAATTGGATTCTAGAATTTTCAGTGCTTTAATGTTAATTTTGCTGACACTAAATTATAGTAAATATAAGTGCACATGTGGGGAGCAACTCGGACTAGACTGTTACTGGAATTAAGACTTATTCTATGCATCTGCTCTCCCACAATATGGCGCTGAGAAGGGAGTAAAAAACAACTTCTACACAGCTGCCTCTCGCCAACTTGAGTGATGACCTGCAGGAGCTGATCCTACTCCTGATTGGAGGAGAGCAGCGTACTCGGCGTGTGGGCAGCAGAGTTGGGATTGGTGGAAGAGGACTATAAAGGAGGAGAGAGACAACATGCACCAGGAACATCTATCTGAAGGAACATCTGAGCAGCCCCCGAGAGAGCCGGCCGGCGGTGTGCCGCTCCCCTGCCGAAGTGGGGAATGTGGCAGGGGGAACTGCCCTTCCACGGAGGTGGAAGGGATGGTAGCCAACCCGGGAAGAACCAGCAGCAAACCCGGGGAGGGCCGAGCAGACAAAAGAACAACGCAGGGTCCTGTGTCGTTCCTCCACGAAGACGGAGAGCGACATGCACAATTCTATTACAGTCGTTTAGGGTGGTGTATAGAGGAAATACCATCTTGAAAATGAGTATTTTCAGTCATATAACAGAAATTAAATTTTGACTACTATATTAGTAAAACAAAGACCATTACAGCTACAATCCTTTGCATGTTTTTGGTTTGCTCAGAGGAAAACGATCTGTGTGCCACCTCTCAGTGTTTATATGGAGCCACAGTTAGGTCTGTTAGAAATGATGACACTGAAGAGGAAGAAAAGGATTCAGCAATAAATATTTTTAAAATTAACCCGTAGCATTTTAAAAAATTGATAGCATGTATCTATTCTATTATATTGGATGAGCAGAGTCAACTTGATATGGAAACCCGGCTTTAGTACCATGTTCTCAAAGACTTCCTGCCAAAATTTAACATGTAAAACTTTATATATTCAATTTTACTCAGTTTTACAGAAGGAAATTAACACAATGGTAAACATTTAGATTTGGTACAGATTTAAAGGGGTAGGAAAAGATGAATTGTTGATAATTGTGTATATATATATATCTAATTCTATTCACTTTATTATCATTTTCTTCTCTATTTGAGTTTTTGTCTTTTTGTTATTCTGGCTAGAAGTTTATCTAATTCATTTATCTTCTCTAAAAACCAGCTTTTCATTTTGTTGATCTTTTGTGTTTTTTTTTTTTTTTGATTGAAATTTCATTTATTCCTGCTCTGATCCTTATTTCTGGCTTCCTACTGATTTGCGTGCTGATTTGTTCATGCTTTTCTGAGTTTTTGAGACGTATCATTAGATCACTTATTTGAGACATTTCTCCTTTTTTAATGTAAGCACTTAATGCTATAGTCATTCTTTTAATTCTGCTTTTGCTGTATCCCACTGGTTTTGATACATTGCATTTTCATTTTCATTCATTTAAAGAAAGTCGTTGACTTCCTTTTCATTTCCTCACTTACCCTTGGTTATTCAGTAGCATACTGTTTAATTTCCACATATTTGTGACTGTTCTTTTGTTCTCCCTGCTGTTGGCTTCTAGTTATATTCCTTTGTGATCTGAGAAGACACAAGGTGTGATTCCAATCTTTCAAAATTTACTGAGACTTGATCTGGTTTAATATATGGACTTTCCTGGGGGTTCCCCATGTGCTTGCTGATGCCAAGAACCTGTGTTCTGTAGCTGTTGGGAGAAGTGTCCAGGAAATGTCTGTTAGGTCCATTTGCTCAACAGTGTGGTTTGACTGTGTGGATGACGTCCACTGACGAGAGTGAGATGCTGAAATCACTCACTATTATTGTACTGGAGTGTGTCTCTCACGTTAGGCCTGCTGGCATTTGGTGGGTGGTCTTGTATTAGGTTCGTATATATTTAAGATTGTTGCGTCTTCTTTCTTACCGATCTTTTCATCATGGAATCTTGACTAAGACATCAGCTCTTTGTTCTCGCCTCAATGTGTAGAAAGGGCTTTGTATTTGCAGACCAACCGAACTGAATGAGTCTGTGATGATGTGTGGAGTAACAGGAAGTCCAGCATGCTCTGTAGTGCTGCTCTGTTGGTTGTAAGACCAGGTCTAGTGACCTTCCCGTTTGCTTCTTTCAGGTTGCTTTCAGCTATGTAAGGCTTTTCCATCCCATGAAATGGAAATTGACCAGTGCCTGTTGGAGTCCCTTCCCCTGGGCCAACGGCAGCGTCTGGTGAAGCGCATGCGTGGTGAGCAAGTCAGAGCCTACTATGAACGGGAGAAGGCTCTCCAGAAGCAGGAAGGCTTCCTGAGGAGGCTGAGGCATGGAAAGTGCCAGAAGGTTCACTTCCACCTTGCCGACATGGTGCAGGATGCGATCGTCCACCACAACGACAAAGAAGGTACCTGCCAGGGAAGGAAATCCTCTCCTGTGTCTGTCATGACCTGTCTTTGCTGTGTGTTGCTGGGGAGGAGAGAGGTAGACGTCCTTTTAAGTAGTAAAGGCGAGTTTATTTCAGCTAGTAACAACATGCAAGACCAGCTGATCTTTCCAAAGATCACCATTAAGAGTTGTGTCTTCTTGCAAAGGTGAAACATGTAAAATTTTGGATCACTCCCCATTGCTTGCAGTTGAGGCCAAAACCAGCAGCTGAGAACTCGGTCCAGGTCTCCCACCTGTGTGACAGGAACCCAACCCCTTGAGCCATCATCATTGTCTCCCAAGGTCTACATTAGCAGGAAGTAGGAGTTGGGAGCAGGAACCAAGTATTGAGCCCAGGCACTCCAGTATGGGATACAGCTGAATTTTTAAACGATTATAAATTTATTTGATAGCAGAGAGATCTTGCATCTCTTGGTTCACTCCCCAAACGCCTGCTGCAGCCAGGGCTGAAGCCTAGAACCCCATATATGTTTCCCAATGGGTGACAGGGACCCAAGTACTTGAGCCATCATGTACAGCCCAATAGAATCTCATTACCAAGAAGTTGGATTCGAAGCAGATTGCCTTGGACTTGAACCAGGCACTCCAACATGGCATCTGGGCACCCCAGGTGGTAGATTAGACTGTTGTGCCCCAAAACCCATCCTGGGATACAGTGGTCTTAACTGGCATCTTGACGACTAGAAAAATGCCTGCCCCAGGTATATTCTAATGTTTCCAAGAAACATTATGATTTGAGAAAGCATTCAAGTCATGAGGTCTAAATTAATGATTTTGTCTGCACATGCAGTAGGCATGGGTTTATGTTGTCACTCTGGTCATCAAACACCTGGAAGAGCTGTGAATTTTGCCCTCACATGTTTCCAACCTAATTAGAATAAGAATAGGAAAACTCAAAATACAACTTAATGCAATTAATGAACAAAAGTGAAGTCTCATAGAAATATAATAGGCGATTTTGTGGAGAATATGATGTTTGAGAGATGCAGATTTTGATGGCTTCTATAACTTAAATATTTGAAAGTACAAGAGGCAGGCACTGTGTACTGGGCACTGCAGTGTGGGTGAGCAGCTACAGAGCACTGGGAGTGCCCAGGCACAGAGACTCTTGGGAACAGTGAAAGATGAGCAGGTGGCTGCTGAGGCCTTTTTAAGTGGACTGAGATTATGGGGGACATATCAAGGTTTGATTTGAAGCAGAAAGCAATGGGCAGCATTGTGTATTGTTCAGAAAGCTTATTTCTCTGAAGCCTATGATGCCTAGCAAAGATTAATGAGAGTTATTATCTATATGATGAACTAAAGGGTGAGGGTGAGAACTGGAGGCAAACATACTAACCAAGAACCTGCTGATGTAATTTCAACGTAAGACGAGTCAGCAGGGCCGGGGTAGTTTCAGTGGGAATAAGAAGCAAAGAATACAACCTAGGGTCATATTCCATGGAAAAATGCTGAATTCACCAGATAGGTATTAGATCTTTATTATGTGAAGTGTGGAGGACAGTGAATGGATCAGCCCGCCTCTCTGATGCCCACTATCTAGTGTGGGTGGCCATGAATAACAAACGTTAAACACATGGTGTGCTGGAGAATGTCGGATGCTGGGGAGTGGGGGTGAGCCTGTCAGGCAGGTGCAAAGCCCTCAGGGCAGGAGCACCCCAGCCTGTTGAAGTCAGAACAGCAGAGGAACAGTGTGAACAAATGGGGGGAGCAGAGTGAGAGGAGCCAGCCCAAGTGGAGGCTGGGAGGTGCCCAGAGGGGTCTGGCTCTTGAGGGTGGGCAGCACTGAAGGCACTGGTGGGTTTTGCTCAGGAGAAAGCCTGAGAGATACCATTCGGAGTTGACTGAAGGGGTTTAAGGACAGAGGCAGGGCCAGAGGCTGGGAAATGTAGGCGAGAGGTGATGGCATGTTGGACCCAGGTGGGAAGAGGGTGGAGGGTGTGGTGAGAAGATTTCAAGTTTGGGATACATTTTTAGGATAGAACTGAGAGCAAATATTGATTACATGTCTATTGGGAATGTACTGTATGCTGTTGTCAGAACAGATTATCTCATACTCAGTAGTTGGAAACATCATAGATGTGTTATCTGAGAGGTTTTTTTTTTTTTACATTTATATCTCTTCTTCCTTCTTTTTTTTTAACTTTTATTTAGTAAATATAAATTTCCAAAGTACAGTTTATGGATTACAATGCCCCCCCCCATAACTTCCCTCCTACTCACACCCCTCCCATCTCCCACTCCCTCTCCCATTCCATTCACATCAAGATTCATTTTCAATTATCTTTATATACAGAAGATGGATTTAGTATATATTAAGTAAAGATTTCATCAGTTTGCACCCACACAGAAACACAAAGTGTAAAATACTGTTTCAGTACTAGTTATAGCATTACTTCACATTGGACAACACACTAAGGACAGATCCCACATGAGGAGTAAGTACACAGTGACTCCTGTTGTTGGCTTAACAATTTGACACTCTTGTTTATGGCGTCAGTAATCTCCCTAGGCTCCAATCATGAGTTGTCAAGGCTATGGAAGCCTTTTGAGTTCGCTGACTTCGATCTTATTCAGACAGGGTCATAGCCAAAGTGGAAGTTCTCTCCTCCCTTCAGAGAAAAGTACCTCCCTCTTTGATGGCCCCATTCTTTCCACTGGGATCTCACTCACAGAGATCTTTCATTTAGGTCGTGTTTGTTTGTTTGTTTGTTTGTTTTCCCAGAGTGTCTTGGCTTTCCATGCCTAAAATACTCTCATGGGCTCTTCAACCAGATCTGAATGCCTTAAGGGCTGATTCTGAGGCCAGAGTGCTGTTTAGGACATCTGCCATTCTATGGGTCTGCTGTGTATCTCACTTCCCATGTTGGATCATTCTCTCCCATTTTTATTCTATCAGTTAGTATCAGCAGACACTAGTCTTGTTTATGTGATCCCTTTGACTCTTAGACCTATCAGTGTGATCAATTGTGAACTGAAACTGATCACTTGGACTAGTGAGATGGCATTGGTACATGCAACCTTGATGGGATTGTATTGTAGTCCCCTGGCACATTTCAAACTTTTTTTCTGCTTGATTTTTTTTATTAACTTTGCTTAAGGTATACAAATTTCATGTATTTCATGTGTTTCATGTTTACAGATTCAGGAACATGGTGATACTTCCCACCCACCAACCCCTGTCCGCCCATTCTCCCATCCTTACTCCTTCCTCAAAGATCTATTTTCAGTTTACTTTATACTCATAAGATTAACTATACTCTAAGTAAAGAGTTCACAAATAGGATGAAGCAAATACTGTTCCTAAACAGTAGAGACAAGGGCTGAGAACGATCAACTCAAAATGTCAATAACTCTTATATATTACATTTTTTTATTTGACAGTTATAGACAGTGAGAGAGAGAGACAGAGAGAAAGGTCTTAATTCCACTGGTTCACTCCCCAAATGGTCGCTACTGCCGGCGCTGCGCCGATCCAAAGCCAGGAGCCAGGAGCTTCTTCCTTGTCTCCCATGCAGGTGCAGGGGCCCAAGCACTTGGGCCATCCTCCTCTGCCCTCCCGGACCACAGCAGAGAGCTGGACTGGAAGAGAGGTAGCCGAGACTAGAACCCAGTGCCCATATGGAATGCTGGCATTGCAGGCAGAGGATTAACCAAGTAAGCCAAGGTGCCGGCCCCTATGTACTACATTTTAAATACTCTATTAATTACCACATATCAGGGAAAACATATGGTATCTGTCTTTTGGGGGCTGGCTTATTTTACTAAATATAACGGTTTCCAGTTGTATCTATTTTGTTGCAAATGACAGGATTTCATTTATGTTTTACTACTGTGTAGTATTCCATCGGGTATATATACAACAACTTCTTCATCCAGTCATCAGTTGAAGGACATCTGAGTTGATTCCATACCTTAGCTATTGTGAATTGAGTTGCAATGAACATGAGAGTGTGGATAACTCTTTGATATGCTGATTTCTCGAGGTTTAGGTAAATTCCCTGAAGGCCTGAGTCCCACTGGCATGATGTCAGGGTACCATTAGACCTGCTGTTGACACTCTTGGCTTCTGGAGACTACCTTCATTCTAGGATCATAGGCCCTTCTCTGTGTCCACAGGCAGTGGACATGTGCTTTGAACTTGGCCTGTTTCTTTTCCATCCTTCCATCTCTCTGGCCAAATCTGCTGCCTCCTCTTCCGCCTCTGGTACCCTGTGTGATTACAGTGGGCTTGACGGGATCGCCAAGGACACCCTTCTTACCTGGAGTCTGTTCCTTAGTAACTGCAATTCCTTTCCCCTCAAGATTCTGTAACATCTTCATAGAAAAAGCCCCACACGGCAAAATTACAGGGACCCAATGATATTGAAGGATAACACCGAGTCTCTCTGGTTTTTTGCTTTGTTTTAGCCTGAGCAGCTAGATGAGTGAGTTAGGGATGCCTTGTGGGTGACTTTTTCAGAACAAAAAGCTTGATGTATTGGGTTCCAAACAGAGTGAGGAAAGAATTGGCACAGAAATTTTTTTTTCTTCTTTTTTGATAGGCAGAGTTAGAGAGAGAGAGAGAGAGAGAGAGAGAGAGAGAGAAAGGTCTTCCTTTTTCCATTGGTTCACCCCCCGAGTGAGCACTGCAGCCGGCGCACTGTGTCAATCTGAAGCCAGGAGCCAGGTGCTTCTCCTGGTCTCCCATGTGGGTGCAGGGCCCAAGCACTTGGGTCATCCTCCACTGCCTTCCCGGGCCACAGCAGAGTACTGGACTGGAAGAGGAGTAACCGGGACAGAATCCAGTGCCCCGACTGGGACTAGAACCCGGGATGCCAGTGCCGCAGGTGGAGGATTAGCTTAGTGAGCCGTGGTGCCGGCTGGCACAGAAATTTTAAAGATCTTTTCAAAGGAGACTTCTGTTGAGAGGACAGACCTGGAAGGTAGCTGCAGAGGGAGCTGAAATTTTCAGGTTAT